AAAGAAAGAAAGAAAGAAAGAAAGAAAGAAAGAAAGAAAGAAAGAAAAGAAAAGAAAAGAAAAGAAAAGAAAAGAAAAGAAAAGAAAAGAAAAGAAAAGAAAGAAAGAACAAAATAAATAAAGAAAGACAGACAGACGGACAGACAGACAGAAAGAAAGAGAGCGAGCGAGCGAGCGAGCGGGAGGGAAAGGGCGGGCGCGTCTCTAGAGCTTGTGATGGCTTGTGTTCTCAGTCGCCCAAGTAGACGGAAGAGATGACAAGGAGTTCAAAGAGTCAAGTGACTACAAGAAGTACCTCAATGCCATCAAGGCAAAGCCAGCAGGCCAGCAGTGATTTGCAGGGAATGCACGACCATCGGTTTGATAGTGTAGACTCTAGCATAGGGCTACCGTAGGACTAGACTAGCAGTGCTAACACAGGAACGCAAGGAGTTTCCTGTCTGGGATCGTCCGAAGAAGAGTTTCAAGACCGCCTTCGCTTCCATCGTTCGTTAGTTCGTTTGCATGGGTTCGCGCTTGGCAGCGCTGCTGGACTCGTGGGATTTGGTTTCGCAGTTTTGGACATGAACATTTGGCTGGGAGCCTTTTCACAGGAAAAGCCAAAGCCAAAGCTGCGACAAAGGACAAGAAGAAGGGCCCTGCGCCACCAGCGTCAATGCCAAAAAAGCCAGGAACTGCTATGACGCTGTTCATGAAGCAAAACAAAGGTGCCAAGAGTTATTTTGGATTGACGTGTTGCATGCTGTGAAGTAGACTCACGGCCACATGGCCCCTTCGAGGTGGTGGGACTTTGGCGAAACAGAGTCAAGCTTTCAAGGAACTGCCTGAGGAGGTGTGCACTCGGACATCTGTGGGTGTGGGCGCTTTCCTCATGACTCAACATGGAGCACAAAGTGACGTACCTCATATCGGTTCAATTCGTCATATTCTTTTCTTGTTTGGGCAGCGTCCTGTGAGTGCAAGGAGCGAAAGAGGTATGCCGAGGAAGCCAGCAAGAACCTTGAAGAGTAACTTGGTAGTTGGAACGAAAGTCAAGAGATTCGTCCTGAGATGCATTTGTCCTTGTAATCCTCGGTATGTGACAGACAGGAGACGGGCCGTCCCTGAGACTGGAAACTACTGTAACTATCGTGACACTCACAGTGAAGCGAATCCTTCTTTTTGTTTGTGCACCCCCAACGTAAGTTGTGCAGAAAGGTGCATCGAGCCGGCAACACTTGATGCACTTGACAGCGTGCAGAGAGAGAGAGAGAGAGAGAGCGAGAGAGAGAGAGAGAGAGAGGGAGGGAGGGAGGGAGGGAGGGAGGGAGGGAGGGAGGGAGGGAGGGAGGGAGGGAGGGAGAGCGAGAGAGCTCCAAAGCTAAGGTACAATGAGGACTGGAGCTTCTATTGACTATACTGATTCGAGTGTCAGGTCGCCGTTTCCGGTACGGGCAGAACAGCCAACATGGTGCACGAAGACAAAACAAGGCAAACCTTTGTCCAGACGAAAGGTAGCACATTCCTTTGCATGTGCTTTGTCAAATATAGTCATGGAGCTCCCTGCAAGCACCCCAGGAGATGGAGGCTTTCAAGAAGACAGCTGAAGGCGCTCCCATTGACAGCTCAAGGTTAGAAGATGCTAAAAAAGTACTAGTCTACAATGCTGACAACCAAAGTGAAGAGGAATGGTTCCGCATGGTAGACTGCGCATGTCCCCTGCCGATCCTAGGTTTTACTCATTGCAACGGTATGGCCATTTGCAATCTTTTGCCATGTAAAACTGAATGGAACGCTGGCAGAGGATGTGATCTCTGCATGCATAGGCCCATAGCATGGACGCACACATCAGTCACTCAGCCTAGCCTTTAGCTTGTGCCTTCCTGGTTTGCTTCATTTTATTCAGCTTTTGCACTTACACTTACACTGATGTTGCATCTCAACAATTGCTTCGCGCAATGTGGCGTTTCCCGTGCAGGCAAGAGGTACTTCAGATTGAAAGCAGCTTCAGAGAAGAAGTCTCGCCGCCCGATGCAAAACAGTTGTTTGGTCTAGCTTGCTTGATGGAAGAGGCAGGAAGCTGCTGCAGCTGCTCCTGCCCGAAATCATCCGAGAGCTTGAGAGAATTGTGGGGCCATTCTGCATGAGTTGATGCCAGAAGATACCAAGTTTAGGGCAAGACCAAACTTTTTGTATATAGCATTTGGAGCAAAGTGCAAGTCTTTGTTTACACCTCTCACCACTTGCAAAAGCAACATTTGGAGGTCCAAAGAATGTGGCACAATCCCAAATTGGAGCAACTAGGGGCGACTACTTCATATGGTGAACTCAGTGTCGAAGAGTAACCAAAAACAGCATGACTCTGCTGTGACAACCGAGGTATAGAAACCGCAAAGAAGAAGTATTTGGAGGTTGGGCTGAGCCGGGCGTTCTCATGTGACACCCGCCCTGTGGTGACTCAGCATTTCACTCTCATTGTTGCAGGATGCCAAGCCGCCGAAGTCAGCGCCAAGCGCCTACCAGCTTTTCGTCCAGGTTGGGACGGGGTGCGTTGAGCCAATTGGATCAAACTGAATGTAGAGTGAACAGGGGAGCGGGGACCCATCCGCAATCATCCTCACAATGATTTAGATGAGTGATACTTGCTGGGGTCATGAATATTTGATATGTGCTTTTGATTCTAGAAATGGTGTAGGGAACCCTGGCATGAGACAGACTAAGATGAGACCAGGGGCATAGGGACAAAGCTCATTTACTCTCATGCTCGGCAACATGCGCAAGGAGAAGAGACCTGCCCTGCAATCTGCAGGAAAATCAATGCAGGAAGTCGCTAAAGAGCTCACGACAACGTGGCGCTTGGGCTCTCAGTGGTGCTCAGCCGTGCACTTTCCAAAGGCATTTGAAGACTCGAAAGAAAACCTGACGTTGTTGAGATCCCCCCCCTTCACGGGTTATGACAAGGCTGTCGCAATCCCGAGGCAGCCTCACAGTCGAAGAACAGAAGCCCTTTGAGGAGAGAGCTGACAAAGCCAAGGCATTCGTTTGGCCTCGGAACGAAGCATCGTTTTAAAGCGTTCTTTGTCAGAAGGTTGGCTGTTCACTTGGGGGCTTCGTCACCGCGGGAGGCAGAGTACGAGGAGCAGCTAGAAGCATATAGGTCCTCACCCGGCTACAAGAAGCAGCTTGGCAAACCTTTAGAAATGAAGCAGCAATTGGCCATAATCAAACAATCAGGAAAGCCAGCAGGGCAGCTCTTGAAGAACCATTTTTGTCACGGATTAAAGAGTCATTCCTAACACATCGCCATACCACCAGCCGAGAAAGTGTACCACATCAATAGGTGTGAGCCTGTGACAGCTGAGCTTTGAGTATATGCACCTTGGAAGTTGCTTGTGCACAGGACATCCTTAGGATACTTAAGGATTATCAGGAACAAATGTGTCGAGCTCCTTATTATTACAACACTCCGCTCCCTTAAAATTTGCCAGAACCTCACCGCTATCGGGACAGTAACACCAGTGTGCGTCATGTCGCAGCAGACGCTTGCGGCTTGCGTTCGCTGAGCATTCCTCTTGACTTAGATGCTAGGGGTTCCTTGACAGATCGCAAATAGGTTTTTGTGAATTGACATGTCTTCTTACTGTTCAGACCGTTGAGTTGATGTATCTCCCATACCCGACCGAAGATGTGGAGGAACGGCATGCCGCAGATCCGAGGGGGGGAGCGTTGACAAGCACCAGGACAGGTCCACCTCCACCTGCTGTAGCACCATCCCGTTTCACTGCCAGAACCTATCACCACCATTTCACATCCGACACATTGCTACATGGCTGCCGGCTACTGCGATCTGGCTACAAAGACCTACGGTTGACCAGTGGGAAACAGACAAGCCTTAGCCCAATCACAGGCAAAACGCACCGCTTCACGAACAGTAAGATTCTGCCTCCCCTCCCCTACCTTGACAACTTTAATGATGCACACTGCCAAAATTTACTAAATGAGGCTTCAATTGCCCGGATTGCTTCATTTTAAAACTTGGCCCTGCGCCCATGCGTCACCGGCCACTTCCCACATCAAGAAGCTTTCTTTCACCTCGCTGGCCTAAATCTAGATCTCCAACAGGCACGCAGGTATGCAAGAAGGGGACCTTGCAGCACCCAAACCATCCCAAACCTTTCAACAGCACTCAACATTCCATGAGGAAACTGGCCAATGTACAGCAAGCCCTCAAACACTCTGATGTCTGGTTATGATCAGAAAAGCACGTGTCGCGGACATGCGAACGGGACAATGCTCAATGCCCATGCATATCATTTGCAGAAGACCGGCAAATGCTTGACATTATGCTCCTTGCTTTGCGACGGAGGTGCGAGTCTAGCACGCGTCACACGGAAGGCAGATGCTAGCCTCCGTGCGAAAGGTCTACATTTGTCTACAGTGATAGCACTTGGTTTTGCGAACAGAGAAGCCAACTCATTGCAAACCAGGTTTATAGCATTTAGTTTTTCTTGTGTAGAGTATTTTGCGTACTTTCGTCGTTTTCTTCTGACTCTTTGCATTTTTCCTCCAAGTTAGTTTGCAGCCTTCGGCTTTCGACATTTTTAGTTTTGTGTTGGGCTGTTGTTCTGGATGGGTGTTGCGTTCGTTTCTTGTGTTAAGTTTTCCGAAACAATCAGAGCACTTTTTCAAGGAAGCTCCCCACGCCTGAGCTATCCTGCGTCACCTCTTCTAGCGGCCTCCCCCCCGCACCCGGGCCAAAAAAACAAAAGAAAAAACACTGGTGTTTTGGATTCCCGACAGATGAAGGCCTGGCCTCGGGGTGGAAGGGTAGGGTCACACATCCACAGACCAACCTGCCTTAGGGTCCATAAAGGTGCACATGCTAAAAGACCCTCTGTCACGTGAAACCCATGCAACCCACGTATTTGCTTCGGGCATTATCAGCTCAGTAGATCAGTAGATGTATCATGATGTATCTTTCTTAGCCATAGCCATAGCCACGTGATTCTGGCTTGATGGGGCCGAGGTTCGAGAAATTCAAGTCGTCAATTAACAGGAAGCCAACAAAGAAAACGAAGAAGCCGAAGGCCTTGATCGGCAAGTTGAGAGGACAAACTCATCTCTTGTGTTCTCTTCTCGCATAATATCCATTTTGGCCACGGCAGATCTATATAGTGCCCCCCCTGCGCAAGGCCAAAGCCAAGGGCCGAGCAAAGGCCAAGGCCAAGGCAAAGGCTATGGTGGTTAATCCGATGCTTGAGCTGGTGGACAGGTCAAATATAGCTTAGTGGTGTCCTGAATATAGATGCACATGCACGTGGTGTAGTGCGATGTGATGCAGAGTCGTGTAATTGACTGTGGTGTAGTGTCCAGAGTGCAAAGTCAACAGCGACACCTCATTGCATTTAGCAGCATTTTGGAAGGGTGTCAGGCTCATGTGCTTGAATATATGCCAGTTTCTTGCACCAGGGCAGAGGACGACAGAAGGAACCGGAAAAGAAGGCTGCCACTCAGAGTTCAATAGAGTTCAGCTGCGGCTCTATTTGCTATATAGTTGGATTGTTGCAATCTTCCAAAGTGAGGACGCGAGCAGATCGTTGAATGTATCATTGATGATCCAGAACCACAAGAACTCGGTCAACCTCTCATCCAAGGATAACAGCAGTACCAGCGATGTGATGGGCTCCGACAGTGACAGCAGCAGTAGTAGCAGTGGGTCTGACTGATTTGACTGAAGCCTTCGACAGTGGCATCAGGCGCCAAAGAGCACCAGTCCCTGCAAGTCTGTGGGATCAAAGTTTTCACTGGATGTGGCCCAAGCTACTTCAGGATTTAGCAGGCCGTGTGCCGCGGGTTTGTTTTCTTGATCAAGTGGAATTGTGTGGTACCGAGAAACATTTTGGAAACCGAATGTGGGCCGCTCTAATGAAACGATCCTCGGATTTGCCCGACGCGATCGCGTGGTCTCACATGTGGCAGAAGGAGTGTCGCTGATTCCTGCAGAACATGAGCTTGACTTGGCCAAGAAGCAATGTGAATGATGTTTGTTACTGTCATTTCCAGGGATCTACTGTCCTTCCAGTCTGGCACAGATTTGCCTTTCAGAAGGTGAGCGAGGCCTCAAAATGGACACAATCAGAGTGACAGAGTTGGACAGAGCAATGTTCTTACTGTATCAATTGTCGCTTGTTATCCTTCGTTGGTGCTTTGGCCTAGGGTTTCATTGATCCCACTGTCGACCTGGTTTCGGCAGTCAAGAGCCCACCGCGCGGGGTTTGCGGAAGGGCAGTGGTAAGCAGTGGGGACAGTGTAGGTGGCGAAGTGACTTCAGCGGGATTGGAATTTTGTGCTAGCCAGCATGATGAAGAGTCCCTTGTGAGTCAAAAGTGAGCTGACCCGTTGTGGTTGCCATCGCAGTCAAGCATCCATCGCCGGAAAGCGTTTCTGGCACAACTTTTTGTCGAGACGTTGCGTCGCAGAGACAAAAGCCACGGTACTTTGCACGACTGGATTGCTTTGCAGTTTGAACGCACAATACTTGCAGCTGTAACCTTCATACGGCTTATATATTGCTATTGTTCCACTTTTATACATAAAGGTTCAAACATGCACGCAATGTCACTTGCTCTTCTCTTCCTTTGACTCCTTGTCGGTCCGTCTCTCCTGCTTAATGCAGAATTAGGGTCGATGCCTTGCAGGTCTGGCTTGCGCAGTGCGACCAGCGGCGGTCTCGGACCAAGTGGGACAGAAGGAAGGCAAACACACATGCAAGAGGTATCTCCAGGCATTGGAAGAGAACGTGAAATTTGAAGAGTGTAATAATGGCTTACCGTAGCAGTTCAAACCAACATTGTGTTTGGCCTTTTTGATGGCGCTGCTTTTCACTAGTATATATATATATTTTGTTGAATTCTGGTGTGCGTGAGCCTGCTGTTCTATTTAATAATAGGGAGGAGCTGTACGTGCCGCAGCTGTCTGGGCTGTCCAGCAGCTTCGGGGACTTTCTGCCATGATTCGCTGTGATTTGATGATTTGATGACGGCGCGAGCAGCGAAAAGGCAGGCATTGTCATCCTATGGCTTCACCAATTATATACATAATAAATGAGGAAAACACCTGATACATATATATATATATTATATACACCTAAATATATGTATCTACGGCAGCTAAATATACGCACAGTTTCGTGTGGAAGATTCTTTTGACACCTTTGCCTCTCCCTGTGCTCCACTGTGCGCTCACGGGGATGGCCCTTATACTGCAACTGCAGCCTCAACTCTAGCGGTGCAAAGGAGGGCATGAACACTAAGCCGTTGCTTGTACGATGCCGTTGGTTTTTGGCAGGGATCGACTGCCGAGACTTTACAAAGTGACTTGGTTGCATTTGTCTCGCTTTGCCATGTGGTGGTGACTTGTTCATCGGGAGCTTTGCGAACTCAGGATGCGCTGTCCAAGAAATCGAAAGAGTACTGGGACTATGAGAGGATGATCGAATCTTGGTTTCAGATGTGGCTGTTTGTGTGCAGTGACCGATGCCCGAACTGATTCAAAACAGCCTTAAAGAGCAAAGCCAAACCATCGTCGCGCGCAATGGCAAGGTAAAATGGGGCGTCCTGGACGACTACGAAGTCACACAGAAGATCGGACGGGGCAAATATAGCCGCTACCTCAGCAAAAGATCGGCAATCCTGTTGACATACTCCCAGTAGTGACTGTGACTTTCCCAAGAGGCCAGAGGTCAGGTGGTGCGCCTCAAAGAAATCTATTCCTCACGTTCTTTTGACCGTTCGCAGGAGCAGTGCCTGGTTGAAGCATGCTTCCACGGGGGGCCAATTGCCACATCTATATAGCCCTGACCCTCCCTCACCCTCCATCCCTCGCTCCAAACTACCTCAGAGCGGCGCCCGATTCTTGATGCAACTTTTTGCAGGGTCTTCAAGGCACGCCACACTCCATTAACTGCATACTACAGGTATCGTTGATTGAAGAGTCGCCAGTCTTCAATCTGTGCAGGATTAGGCATACATGTATCTCGTAGATCCCGAATTGTGTGAGCTCTTCCTTGTGTACTCATTGATTTTGAGTATGCCTGAGAGTTTCGAGTGCTCGCGTAGTGTTCATCCCATGTTCAATTTGATGAGAGTCTTCTCAGGTGAGGTGTTCACAGGATTCCACGTTCCGACCAACAAGAAATGTGCCTCTCGGCTTAACCGATACCAAGTCTCAGCCATCCCATGTCCTATCACTTACATTCACATGGTCCCTGTCCCATCGCCGCTTATACTGGGAGATGCAGAGGCGAGGCCGGTGAACACCACATCTAGGGCTCCCATGGCATCCCTGATTTCATATGGAGAGCACAGTGTTCTGAACCGATTGGGGAGGCGAAGCCCTAAAGTGGGTGAAGCGAGTGCGGCGGGCATGCGACATCGTGAGGTCATCAAAATTCTGAAGCCAGTCAAAAAGAAGAAGATTAAGCTTCTTGACGTTAAGAGTTCAAAAGAAAGGAAAGCAAAGACCTTGTTTGAAGCAAGTGTGCTCAGTTGCTTAGCTGGCCAGTTGACAGATCCATTCTTGAAACAACGGCTCCGTCTCAAACAAGGCGCGAGATTAAGATCCTGCAGAATGCAACGTGCTTGCACAAAGCAAAATCAATTCTAGTTCAAGTTTAGTCAGCTCAAATGTGGGTGGACCATGAAGGACTTCGTTGTCCGCGGGATTCTATTGCCCGACAAAGAGGAGGGCTACTGTAGTCCTTCAGCCTACTATCGCACACCTGATTTGCATGGTTGCTTGCCGCCCCATGCATGGAGAGAACCAAGGTAAGTGGGGGTCCCAACATCGTCGAGCTGTTGGATGTTGTGCGAGATCCTCTCACAAAAACACCTTGCTTGGTCTTCGAATGGATTGACAATCAAGATTGGAAGACACTCGAGCTGCATTCTCCCTGACTTTCACTTTAGCATTGAAAGTGGTAGGATGATTGCACTTTCTTCAGTATCTTCAGTATCAGGTGGACATTTCAACAGCCGAATTTGTACAATTCATACTGCCTTGGGGAGAGTGAGAGAGAGAGAGAGAGTTGGAATTTTCACTCTACAAGTCAGATTTCTGCAAATTCTGTATCACCAAAGAGGGGCTTGATGCTCAGGACGCTCTATCCCAAACTGACTCCCTACGACATCAAGTTTTATTTGTACCAGGTCTTGAAGGCTCTGCGACACGCGGCCACGCTCCTTCAGTTGGTCTGGGGAGTCCACGATCTTGTGGTCGGGAGGGCGAACAAAACATACCATGCTATACAGAGTCGCAGCGTTCGTGGATTTAATCTAGCAAACCTTTCACATTCACGCATTCACTTAGTACTGCCTAATGGTTCTGCAAGCGTCGCCAGACGCACCGCAAAGATACGCAAAAATATAGAGTGTTTAAGTCAATTGTTTACTGAACAAGAAGCTACTAGTAGCAAAGGGTACCGCAAGAAGCTACTACTCGTAGTAGTTCCTGGCCTTACTACTACTACTACTACCACTACTACTACTACCACTACTACTACTACTGCTACTACTACTACTATTACTACTACTAGTCGTGGCGAATAGCTACTAGTAATAAGTCTCCGAATCAATTGGGAACAATGGGCGTACAGCAGTGCACAAATACATGTGGCAAGAGTGCCCTTCCTGTGGCTTCCTTCCGACGCTTCATTGGAAAGGTGTTGATTACCTATAATTAACCTGTCCAGGTATGTTTTAGCCATACCTTCACTGCATAACAATGTATTTTTTTTACTCCCAAACGTGAGAGCAAAGCTCCATGGAAACAGAGCATGTTCTGATCAGGAGCCGTGGTAGTGATAGTGTTTATAGGGTTCGGTGAGCTCTTTGCACGTCATTGACACTGTTCAGAATCATTTATTTAGCCTCAGCCACTTCCATTTCAGAATAATAGCATGCGCAGCGCAGCCTTGCGACGATACCCTGTGCATGGACCACACTGTGAGGTCATCGACGTGATACCCTCGACAGAAGATGTGAGTCATCCCAGTCCTCACGTGGATTTATTGGTACTGATATGAAGCTTCAGTATATAAGCTATATGCTTTTTGCCAAGACTCTGATTCTTGAGGCCCCTGTTTGTTGAATAAGAAGCGTCGTGGTCCCAAGTGTCTTGTGTCGTGGTGCGGTTCTACGCACCTCAAGGCCCTCGACTACAGCCACTCTCAAGGCCTAATGCACCGTGACGTCGCTGGACCTCAAAAGTGAAATCCAACCGTCTCAGTAAGGCACCTTGCTACTAGTAGGGAGAGGATGGAAAGCGGTGGAGAGATTGACAAGTACAGGGACCCACCTTGTCAAACGTCGACTCAACTCTTCTGATTCTTGATCATTCGTGTGGCGGGATAGGTTCATCCACGTGCAACAAACTGATGCTGGCCAATGTTGCCTTCAACCTCCACATGGCTGTATGATGAACTGTGTGTTCTCTTCAGCCTGTGGCCAGCTTGCATTGCTGTGCCACTCCCGTGTGCTTGGACTGAGGTGAAGCCACACAATGTCATGATCGACCACGAGAAAAGGAAGGCAAACGGCTGAAGTTTGGAGCCCTACATAGTCCCGTAAATCCACGAAAGTAGGTTGGAGGCCATTGTCATTAGGTTGTCAAGCCTTCAAGGCTTTTGCTGTCGTCATGGAAGTGATTCGGCACGCAGGTGCGATTGATCGACCCTCGGCTTTATGCGACGTGGTGGAGCCTATAGTTCCTATAGTCTCAGCCGTTGGCTTCTTGTTGGCCTCTCCCCGACCTCCGCGCCATTCTTTCGATGTCCTTTGCTCTAAGGATTGGGGCCTTGCGGAGTTCTACCATCCATTGAATGAGTACAATGTCAGGCACGGTTCGCATATGCGGGCGCCGACTTGTTGAAGGGTAGTAAGTGGGTCAATGGAACCACGAATAAAGAGCAAAAGAAGCAGTTCCTTTGCAGCAATGGCTTCTTCAGGGTAGCTTCGCGTCACTACAAGGGCCCTGAGCTTTTGGTCGATGTGGCTTGCCGTATTTCAGAAGCGGGTGCCGGTTCTGCCTTAAGCTGTGCCAAGCGCAAGAGCTAAAGATGCATTAGTTTCCTCAACTCTGTGGGCAAACTAGGAGCAAGGAGCTACCAGTAGCTCCTAGCTCCTGGCATTACTACTAGGAACAAGAAGCTACTAGTAACAAAGGGCATCGCTACTAGGAGCAAGGACGCTACTGATAAGCAATTCAAAGTGGACTTTTCGATTTGTGTGGAGCCGGTGCGATGAACACCTGGTCTTGAAAAAAATCCCAGCACGAGCCAACCAGAAAACTTTAGCTTGCAATATCTTCATGCAGATGGCAACCCTCCACAGCATCTGAGGACATGCTCTATGATTATTCGCTTGATATTTGGAGTTTTGGCCACTCACCTAAATTCTGCAATAGACATGTATATGCTTGTATCCACCTATATTATATCACCTACATGCATATATACATAATATATTCATAAACGCAATCCGAAATGTTTGTTTTCGGTCTGACTGGTCACTTTGCAGGCTGCATGCTGGCAGGGCTCACTTTTCGCAAGGAGCCATTCTTTGCTGGTGCCGACAATGTCGACCAGCTCTACAAAATCGCGAGGGTGGCACCTGAAATTGTTTGCACTGGGCATGCAAATGTGACTGACAAACAAAAGACAAAAGTCAGAGGCAGTTGCTGGAATGAGAGACGGGCCTGATTGTTTTGATGCAGTCACATAGTGCCCTCTAGAATGATTCGCTACCACAATAAGAGGTGCTGGGCACTGATCTTCTGGAAGAGTACCTGGATGCCTATGATCTTGAGCTGGAACTGGAGGTCGAGCAGCGTTTGGGGTGACTTGCCATATTTTGGTGCCATCTGTTCACTCATTTCAGTTTCCAGATGTCCTCCTACCTGAGGAAGCTTCCACGGAAGCCGTGGTCGTCCTTCAAGAACAAGGTGCCATGTCAAGATCATCATCGAGGGAAGTTGGCACGGCCTGCTGTGCCATGCACACAAACCACCTCTTGAGCGTTTAAAGATTGCACGTTTGGGCTACTTTTCCTCCCGGCCTCAGATTGACGCACCTAGCACATACATGCATACATGCGTATCACTGTGCAGCCTGGGCTTTCCTTGAGTGTTGCACCCATTGTGAGCAATGGTTTTTGGCTGCTGTGCCTGCAAGTGAGCCAAATCTTTCTTGTCAATTTTGTCCATGATCCGTTTGACTCGTATTCACCAGGAAAACTCTGATCGCTGCTCCCCAGAGGCTAGGGTGGCATGAACACGCATCGCAAGTCCTGTGTCAAGGGACCACACCATAAGGCACAGACCTTGAGCCGTTCTGACTAGGCACTCGACCTCATAGATAAGATGCTGCGCTACGACCCGGCTGCACGGATCCTGCCCAAGGAGGCTCACGTTCACGGATGTAGAATCAGGGCGAATCGTTTGGCTCAAGCGTAAACCTCTTGAAGATTCTTGATAGTCAGGCGATGGCGCATGCCTTTTTCGCGGATGTCCGGAAGGAGAAAGAGAAATGAATAGAAATGAGCTTTTGCTGGGAAGCTAGGTGGCTTGAAGGGAGCCATACAATTGCCGAGCCAGCACCATGACACCCTTATACTTATACTCAAGCTCCATGACACTGCACTGCAACCTTGTATGAAAGCCTCTGAGAATCCACCGCAGAACATTTGTTGTCTAAGTTGCCTGCGCATCCAGCTGCCAGCTAGCAGCTAGCTGCGCACTTTCGGTACTGGATGCGTGACACTATTATTAGGCTTATAGGCAAGTGTTTTAGCTAAATTTAGACACTCTACAAAAGCTCTACTGCAAAATCGATAATTTCCTTTTCAAGGCCCACAGTTGATGAGTTGATGAGGCTTGTATTTCGACAAGTGGTGTTTCTTGCTGTGCCAAAGGCTTGTTTGCCACCTTGCACGTGGCCTTGTGCAGGCATCAAATCAGAGCCTACCAGCGTCCTTGCTCCTAGTACTGTAGCGATGCCAGGAGCCCTAGTAGCGAACATTGCTCCTAGTAGTAAGGCCAGGAGCCCCTAGTAGCTTCCTTGCTCCTGGGCGTATAGCGGCAGTTTGTTTTTCAACCAGTGGTTCTTGAGGCTCACAGCATTTTGAACAAAGCAATTGTGCGTAGACTGGGATGCCAGATGTGGAAGCGCTCATCGACGAGCCTCTTCGGCTCAAGCCCCCCCCCCGAATGGGGGTGGAAGAACTTGGCAGCTGGGATGTCCGGAGGAGCAATGGGTGTAAGCGAGGACAAGGTGATGCAGCTGTTGGCGCAGGCCTTGCCGTTTAGAAGCAGCAAGCCGCCCTTGCTAATGTTTGATTCACAATACCAAGGGGGGAGTTTCATGTGCTTTCATTTTGCTTCCATTTGCTTTCTTATGCTTTTTGCTGGCGTTTGTTCTTTGTGGCTCCATTTTATAAATATGGATACTGACTATGATTATGGCTCCGAAATCCTGATTTTAGGGCGAATAAAAATTCAAATTTGACAAACATTGATCTGGATTTTCTGGAAACTTAGACTTTTTGATTCTGGATGACCTCCCCATTATGATGGTGCACAGATCAACTATGGCTCTGCAGGATGGTTCACAGGTCCAGGTTCTTTTATGCTTCTGAACGGGCTCATCCGCTGAACAGGGTGGACTCCAGATGGCTCCTAATGATCCTGATGATCTGGAAACTGGAGGGGGGAGTTGAGAGACAACATGTTTTTATTTTAGGCAATAACTTCCGACGTTGCGCATTACCATCCGCAGAATAGAAAATTCTCCAGACAACCTCCCCAGCACTCGTAAGGATATATATATATATACTATGCAGAACTCTCCGAGCCCAAAGAACGCGAAAGGCGCTGGCACGAAGGACCAAACACATGCCATTGAGGACAAGAAAATCATCAAACCCAAGTATGGCAATTTTCGTTGTGTTCGTCTTATTCATCGTTGTGACCAACGGCATCCATCGGAAAAGTCTACGTTCAGTTCATGAGTGTCACCACCTGGATTGTGGCTGCATCACGATAAAGAAACCATGCCGTTCGGCTGAATATCAGGCAGACTTCTGGCCATATTATCGAAAGATATCGAAAAGCATAGAACACAAAAAGAGCTTAAGATAGCTGAAGTGTAGACATGTAGGCGCCCTGACTCCACAGATGTGCAGGTTGCGCTGTCGACTAGCACGCTCCTTATCAGAGAGCCTAAGTCAACCTATATAAGTCAAATTTTGCAAAAGGCAGACAGCTTGGAGGCTGGAACCTTTCCACTTTGTCACTTCTAGGCTTTGACACCCTGTATGCCGCAAATGCTTGAGATGATCGAGTGCCCTGAAAAGGAGACCCAATAAAGATGCTGGCTGAAAATATGGAAGCGGTGCCGGCTGGGTCCAAGCGCTCTTTCAACTTATGCAACTGACAAAACTTTAGTGCAACGTGGCAACACGCACCGTAGAGTTGGAGCCCGCCCTGCACCGCGTGCCAACACAAACGGGCATCCCGTGGCATCCGTGCCAGAACGCTCTTCCGGACTCTTGGAGTCGTGAGCACGAAGACGTAGAGAGCTGGCTCCTTTTAAACATCTGCAGCAGCTTTCGGGCGTGAATGCAAAAGACATGCTTCTGCGGGCTTGAGTGGGTAGAAACCCAAAATTCAAGGGGAAAGGAATCCAAGTGACTTGAAATGCACGTTGGGCTGGATTGCACCTTCGACAGGCCGGCCTGGCACATCAACAACAGTTGCAGGCATTGAAAGACGAGAGGGACACCGAGAAGGCAATACTTTTGGCCACTTGTCTTACCGCGTTCCCGATGGTTCCCGGTCTTTTGTAAACGCTTGGCAGGTTCCTCTAACTCAAACGTTTCCCAACTATAATGATTCAGTTGTGCGGCAGTACGGGGTGAAAGAATCGCTCCAAGCACCTGGCGAAGAAGCCAGTTTGACTAAGCTACTCCATAATTGTTGCACATATATGCAGAACTTGAACTTGACAAATATCTTCAGGGTCCAGGCATTCTTGTTTTATGCACTTGTCACTTGCGGGCTCAGGCAGAACTTGAAGATATGCGGAGAGGTGGAGGTTCTGGAAGGCACTGTGCCAAGCCGGACGGCAGCTTTCATAGGGCTCCAGAAGTTTCAGTCACAAGGATTCACGTCAGACGATGATGTCAGATGATAGGAAAGGTAAGACAGACTGGCAAAAAAATTGAGACGTTCTGCAGATTACCTTGTGCAATCTCCAGGGCTGCCAGCCCTTCAAAGCAGCTTCGGAAAAGTGGAACTACTAAAGGACAAGTCTGACTTACTTACTTGACTCAGTGAGTGTTTCAGTGCTCCTTGACCCTCAGCCAGTTTTGATTGTAATTCAAGAGCCAATGAAATCATGATACAGATCAACGAAGTGCTGTACCTTGTGCGACTACACAGGACAGCAAAAAAAACGACAGAAGCCCGGTGCCATCCGAGTTGGAAGAGGTCAAGACATTGTCTCGGCAAGATAGTCGGTCATTGACAAGACAAGGCGGCCTTGATTTGTAGCGGTGAGTGTAGGCAGCTTACCAACACTCCAAGATGCTAATGTGGACATTGCTTGACGTGCCCTTGTGAGGATCGCAACGCTTCAACATGGCTTGGTCCTATGAAATTGACACGGATCCGATGCTTCACGAGGCCACAGACTTGTCAGTTTGTGATGCTCGTTTTGGTGCCAGGGTGGGCCCAGCTGGACTGCTGGAGACCACGCCCGGTGTCGTTCCACGATGTTCCACGAATCTCATTCTGAGTGTTTGTTTCAGCCAACAGTTCTGACAGCATATCCTTGCGACAGGGGAGTCATGACTCGCGGATGAAGTCGGATCGCAGCACACAGCCAGCATCAGGCCATGCGCTGGGTTCTCATTTCATCACTGGACAACATTCTCACCAAGACTTAAACAATTCTTTTCATGCTGCAAAGCCTTGCCCTATTTTCTGCAAGGCGCTCCTTCCTTTTTCTATTTTCCTCCATATTCCCCACCTGCCTGCCAGGTGAGGGTTCCTAGATTTTATCAGGGCTGTCAACTCCGCCTTCTCCCTCTCTTCCTCCTTCCTTCGCTGTGAGCTGGGCACCACTGGGCCCGAACCGCGAGGGCCAGATTGCAGTTGCACCACCGGGCCTGAACCAGATAGAATGCCAGAAGAGATGCCAAATAGACCGCCAACAAACATGCAAGAATGTATGCCAGATAGAATGCTCAGAATACATGCGCGATAAACTGTCAGAATACAGGCCAGAAGGAATGTCAGAAAACAAGCCAGATAAAGGCCAGAGTACAGTATATGCCAGATAGAATGCCAGAAGATATGGCAGATAGAATGCCAGAATGTATGCCAGATAGAATAGCAAACCATATGCAAGAAAGAAATAATGTCAGACATGTGCCAGATGGAATGCCAGAATATATGCAAGATAGAGTGCCAGAATATATGCCAGATAGAATGCCTAGTTTATTCAAGATCGAATGACAGAATTTATGCCAGATACAGTGCCAGTAGATATTCAAAACAGACACTTCTTTGGTGATGTTGAAGCAATATAGCCATCGGCTATCGGCAGAGCATACTATAGTGCCATGACGCGCTCGAAGTACACTAGTTTTTTGTGCTTGCAGTTCTGCTGTCGCACATGCCTTTGGGCACATGTTGTACAGGCTCGGACATGTCAGAGTTTTCTTCTTTGGCCGGGTGTGTGCTATGCACTGAGCATGTTGCTAGGAACAAGAAGCTACTAGTAACAAAGGGCATCGCTACTAGGAACCCGGGCATCGCTGTTACTAGGAGCAAGGACGCTACTAGGAGAAAGCACGGGACACAAAGTTGCCAGCCTTGCCCTCCAAAGGCAGATACAGTCCAGCATTTCTTGACAGCCCCGGAGGCCGGAATATCTCGCTCTCGTTCCTGAATTCACAAGAGCCCGAACCTCCAGCCCCCTTGCAGAAGAGAGCAGCAAGTTTTTCTATTTTTGGACCGTTCTCACCTCGCTTATTGTGGGCCTTGTGAGTCTTGACTGCTGGACCTCCGTGATCTCCAGTAAGGGTGCACCGACAAGAATGGACAACTTCATGGAGGACGGGGTGACGTGCGAGGTGAAAGACTAGACTGGGCTCAACCGGTGGCTTTTGGGGCAGTAGTGCAAGCCTACTTGTACATTTGTTCAGCAGCCTCGAAAGTGACACAGTGGTGGTCACTGGTGCTGGTGGTGTAGTGTTCAAGCAACACATCCAATATGTATAATTGATCACAATCCTTCAGGTACTGCAAATCGAAACTCAGCTCATCATGGATGTTTTTGACATACAGCCCGGCTCAAGATAAACCGTCCATTGCCCTGCTTGCAGCAGCTTGTAAACTATATACATAAAATTCTTTGGGCATGCTGATGCTTCTTTGCTGCTGTGCTGATTCAAAAGAAGATGAGATCACGATTGTGAGCAAGAAGAAGGCTTTCGCAGAGAAAGATGCTGATGGGGACGGTCTTTCCATGCTGCATGAGAGAGAAATTGAAGTTATACCTTCCACGGACTTGCAGAGGGCAGGGACAGATGGTTTCAGAGAGGAAGAAAGCACGATTGCCTCACAAGGAGAGGTTCATGAAGGGAAGGCGGCACCTTTGTGTGGGGAGTTCATGGTCAACATCAGCAAAATCGGTAAGATTGGCTTTAGTGTGGAGGCACTTTTGGATGACTATTGTATTGTTCGATCGGTTGATCCAGGCAGCTCGCTTGATGCCAAGCCCTATGACCGCCTCTTGAGAGTGAATGGGCAGTGCGCCACTGCCCGCAAAATGGCGAAAATGATCAGCGACAATGATTCACTGGAGCTTGTTTTTCAGCGTCCCAACAAAAAGGACATCATGCTTCCGAAGAAAGGCAAAAAGGCCGGCTTCAACATCGATTGTCAGCTTGCATCTGTGGGATTAGTGATCAAGTCTTTGGCAGACGGTGGAGCTGCCAAAAGCTTGGAGGAAGGAACCTTCAAGCCGTACGACCGCATCATTGCAGTTGACGGTCAAGAAGGTCCTCCTTTGGACTTGATGAAGATGCTGATCAAAAGCGACTCTCCTCTCCTGACAGTGTGTTCCTATTCATAGTAGCCTCACTTCGCATTTTAGCGTCACTTGGAAAGCAGAAAGGGCCAACATGGCCTACGAAACCTAGATTGAGAAGAGCAACGTCTCTTCGGGAGAAGCTCTGTGTTCCAAAGATTGCGCCGGACACCTGAAAATTAACTGGTTAATATCAAGTTCATCCAATTGATGTCAACTGTTCTTCACAACTTGGCACATGTGCCTTCTTACTTGCATACGTGTTTGCAAGAACAGCCTAGTGACAGTGACAGTGGCATTTTCGGAAGGAGGCGGGCAGCCTGAGAGCTCCTGGTGTTGAAGAGCAGGAGCTTTCAGTTTCTCATCACACATACAAATCCAGCCGCATGGCTTCGCGTCATCTCATGGCCTTGACAAGAGGAATGATCGGAAGGGAACACTTTTTGGTGACACCATGTTACGTCGGGTTGTTGATGAGAAAGGAAACGTCGAGCATGCAGACATACTTGGGCTGTTGCCATGCCACTTATGCTGTGCAGCTAGCCAAGGAAATTCACAATACGATGGTTCTCAGCAGGGAGGCAAAATGCGGAGCAGCATTCGAACCAGCGTGCGTTCTGAGAGGCCAGCAGAACTTGACCTGCCACTTGGCAGAGGTATCAAGAATCAAGATTATCTCGGGCCTGTGAGTGTGTCACCGATACATACAAAAGGCAGCGACAGGACATGGTGTTCTTTGGGGTGCACTAGGTAAGCTGTGGTACAAAACAATCATTAAACAAATATACACCCCAGATTTGTATGCAGGTCCTCCAGTCCGGGATTTCTGATGCACATAGAGGAATGCTGTCCCTTGCGTTTCCTTTCTTCGACTCATTGCAGCTCCGAGGCGTCCAACGCTTCCACCCACACCCATGGCCTGCCACAAATAGTGCAAGAAGAATGCAAATCCTCTCTCGTCAGATTCAAGACAATACCAACTCTCGTGCTATCTCCACTGTCGGAGTCGAAAGGTAATTATGGGCAGGATAGAAATTTGGTGTGCGCTATAGCGAGCAAAGCCCGTTTTTGGGCAAGCTGGCACCAAGCCACAGGCAATTCAAAGGGGTCACTATGAGCAAATCGTGTGAAACTCATGCTTGCAACGTCACCGGCTGCTGCTTGAGGCCAAAGGTTCCAGACCTTTGTGACGTTTGGGAAGCAGGTCTCTTGGTCATAAAAGCGGGGGGGAGACATAGGCAATTGTAAGGCCCAAACCTGGAAGTACTCGTGGCTTCTTCGCGCTTGTGGCCCAAGGTAGGACTACCAGCAAAGCTCGGGTGAACTTCGCTTCGAGAAAGCGTGCCCCTATAAGGTTGGACGGATTCGAGAGACCAGAATCCGGACATCTGTTGCACAGAGTTCCGCAGAACACAACTCCCTAAACTGTGACTTGTGCCTCGTGTGAATTTATGGCCACTGGCCAGAAAAAAAGAAGTGCTAGACTCTATAGACAAGTGGCACTTCTTGTGCTCTCAAGCTGCAACCCCGGTGAAAGGTCAGGAATGCTTCAGACAGCTACTCCCATGGAGCAACTTGGCATCTTCGTGTAGCAACCCGTGGGCAGGCCATACATCGCCGCTTCCAGCCTTGTTACTGCTCCTTTTGATGAATTGTCCGAGGCGCTTCTTTCAACAAGGACGAGGTCGCTTTATCTCATACATGGTTCTGCAACCACATTGTTCTCGACGGCTTGTCTATGAGGTCTTTGGCACCTTGCCAGGGATATTACAGCTGAGGAGATTGCAAAGTGAATAGACATTGCGTGCATACATGCCGACTTTTGCAAGCACGGTTGGGCAAACAAACTGACGCTCAAACACAGGTTTTGGATGAGGATTCCTTGGGTGTTTAACATGGTTGAAACATGCGCTAGAAGTCGCATGGCCCAGGTTGCTTCAAGAGTGGGGCCTTCACAGTATCGGATGTTGCTAAAGTCAGCACAGGCATCCCCTCAATTTGATACGTTGACCACTTCTCATCAGGGCTTTGACAAAGTGACTTGGAATGCTGAGGATTACTTCTCATTTGCTATGACCTGATTTGGCTACCAGTCGAGGCTTTTGATCCCGAGAACACTACCTTCGCAACTTGGGCCATGTGTTGCGGAGGTGACCTTCGAATAGTGAACCTAGGACCTACCGTATTCAGTATTCTCTACCCGCATGCTCAGATTTCCATAAGCATTTGCCAAGTTACTTTGTCGTTGAATATCGATATGGTGTAGCCGTAGTCATCCCAAAGGGACAAACAGAGGCGTTTAACATTGGTGCATTAATTCTATTGCAGTATTGCAAGGTATATTATTGGCAGGGTGGGGAAGTACTGGCAATCTTTGCTGAAGTGCAATGTGACAACGCGACCTGTGGTCACCGCCAACTTGCATCCACTGCACATGTCGTTGCCCAGGGTTCAGTTACGAAGCAGACCGCAGCAACAAGGTACTGGCGGAGTAGAAAATTAACAGAGTGCACTTGCCTTTGTCCAGGAGAATGGCACACCACTGGTAGAGCTTGGGTCTGTCCTACTACGTGTAACAGTCAGTCAACAATCCACACATATGAACACTATTTTCAAAAAAGGCCTTGACTAACCATCATCAATAGGATAGACCCAAGGTAGAGCTATAACCTGGCCAAATCTGATGGGAAGCATTTTTAAAGGAGCTCATGACATTTGCAATCAGAATATCCCATCAAGTCAAAACTATGTCGACGCAACAAGAAAGCCTTACCAAGTGCAGAAGCTAGTAGTAACAAGGGCATTAGTTAAGTTTCCCTAAAAAACTAGGAATCTAGGAACCAAATCAGAACGTGAGCTATCCCGCGTCTGGTAGTTAGTAGCTTACTTGTGGGTAGCAGCTACCTCTTCTACTAGCTACCTAGCTAGTTCCTCCTAGCGGCCTACCCCTTTTTAAAAGATGCGGTTTGACATCCTGGGTGGCAGCCCCAAGATGTCCCAAGCTCTGATGCAACCCCGCCAAAAGCATTCCGCTGGAAATGTCGCACCACGCCATTGCCTTAGGCCAGACCATATATTGTTTGCAATTTCCTTTTCTGGCGTGCTCACCCATGTGCAGGGGCACCATCTCATTTGTGCATTTTTTGCTAATTTATGTGTTTTTAATTCATCAAGCTTTCCTTTGACAAGCTCATACACCATGCTCATGCGCCAGGCTGGATGCATAATTTGTGTACAAACCTGGTCACAGCTGTTTGTTTAGCCACCAATTCCGGAGTCTGTTTGAACGTATGGCAGGGCTGGTAGCCGTGAGGTGGCTTTGAAAGCGCTTTCTGTACTTACCCTCTGTTATATATTTTCGCCAATTAGGTTGGAGGCCGTCGCTAGTAGGGTGGAGGCCATCGCTATGAGTGAGAAACAATAATAAAGAACACAAAGAAGGATCTAATGTCTAATGATATGGCTTGCTGAGGCAGAGGCCATGGCCTGGATCACCAGCATCTACTGGTTGCTGGATATCCCAGCCTCCTTCCTTGTGGGATACGCCATTCTTGAGGCCAAGTGTTGTGCAAATATGCCGGGAAAAAGGAATTGACAAGAAGGGAAAACAAGAAGGTGCAGAGCCTTTGTGTTTTGTTTTGTCCTTTCCTTGTCAATTCCGTTTTGTTCACAAGTAAGTTCACTACAGTGACTTTTGTGTGTCCGCTTCACTGCCTGGCTTTCCCACCAGCTTGCAAGGAAGGGACGGTGGAAATGAGGATCACGAAGATAGCGCGCCGCTACTTGAGAACATGGTTTTTCTTTGACCTCATCATAGTTGGCCACTCGAAGTTGAAGGGGCATGGCCCATGCCAGTCGGAGTAGAAAAGTCGTGGGCTGCTTGAAGATGCTCTCGCATAGTCTCAAGAAGTTTCTGAAGGGAAGCAGGTGCATAGGCTTTTTGCAACCACTGTCATGTTGGAGTTTGGAGTGATATGCGGACCTTATGGGTATACGGTATACGGTATACAGTACACTCAGTATATATACAGTATACATCAAGATTCAATAGTTGCAGTCCTGTTCGAAAGATTCAAATCCGATGGGCTCAGGAGTCGACTGGGGTCTCCAAATATGGACCTTGCTCCTTCTGACTCAACAAGACTCCGGTGTCTTGGGCGGCACTGTGGCACGTTCTTGGTCTTGATTTGGGATGCAAACACTTGGCGGGAGGGGGAGGGGCATTGTACTTTGAATAGGGCAGAGGCTCAGCCTGCGTTGTGAGGCGCCGAAGCTGGTGTGGCATTCTTCAGAATGGCAAAAACCATTCGGCTTCTGCGCTTTTTGAGATTGCTAAGACTTCTGAAGGCCATCCACTTTGTTGGATAGGACTTGCTGTGATTCCTTCACGAAGTTGAACATGCACAAGCTTTTGGCATTTGCAGGCGAGAGGCAGAATTAATGACCTCGTGGAGCAAATTCAGTGGCTGGGTAAACATGTGATCCTGCAACATCGACCCAGAGCCTAAACTCCAAGTTTGCTCCTCGGGACGCTTGAAACCTGAGGTCAGAAGCTTCACTCATCTTAATTGGCATTCTGAAGATGCTAGTTTTCATTGCGACTTGGGCTGTGAGTGTCCTGAACCAATGCTGGAAAACCACCACAGGCTCACTGTGCCCACCTGAACCTGAGTAAGAGTTCGGACGCAGAAGAGAAGGACAGTTTTCCATTTGTCGGGTGTGCGGACCGAAAAGCTTGCCGCGGTGGCGTCAGGTCACAGTCAACCACTTGGTTGCTTGCGTTTGGTATGCCATCGGGAATTATGCACCTGGGCATTTTCAGCCCATTTGCTTGAGCTCCCACGGCCTGGAAACCTTTGTTAGCACTGGCTTTAAGGCGGTCAACTTCATGCAAAGAACCCCCAATAAGGTTTGTTTCGAGCTGCCTTGCCTTGACTAGCTGGGAAAGTGAATCCCTAGAACGTAAGGTTCGGTTTTCTTCTGATATCGTCGACACGTTTCTGAGACACAGCGCTGTCAATGTAGCTTGAAAGAGAGACCTTGGGCAGCTGAGGATGCCTCGAGGCAAGACAGATGGATAGTAGAATACAAGGTTGCAGCTTGGAATGGATGAGCAGGGGTTGTTAGGTTGGTAGGTGTGAATAGTACTGTACGGTGTATTTGTGACATTGGATCCATTTTGCCGCCAAGGAGATGAAGAACTTGTTGTACCGATATTCAACTGCGCTGCATTGGTCGATCACACAATTCACTCCTGCATCCATGGAAGTGTTCCCACAGAATGAGTACGAGCGGCTATTCACTGTTTGTATCCTGCCGGCGTTTCTATTTTGACACCACCATGTTCTTGAAAGTGCAGGGCAACAGGTTCATTTGATTTCATTTGTCTATTTGGCCTTGTCACTTGTAAGCATGGGTGCAGCCTGCTAGCTTCAAATAGGGTTTGCACTTTGCTGACCAATAGCTGACCTGATCAGGCATAATCCTATCTGGAATGCTGATTTTCTCGTCCTTTGTGTCAGCGATAACAAATGCGATGAATCAATTGCGCAACCTCAACAGTCACCTGGCTCAGGTTTCGACTTCGCAGTTGACAGATCAAATCATACCAAGTAGAAATAGCTGCTTTATGCTGCATTGTGCTTCCAGAGGGTGTGTCGGTGTCAATGCCCTTCCTCTCTTTCCGTCAATTTGCCTCCACCCAGGAATTTGTTTCAGGGACGGGCCAACGTCTGCTGGAGTGAGCCTAGCAGGTCTACCTAGAAACATCGATTGGACTCTAGACTCTAGATGTCTCTAGAGCATTTGCAGGTCTTATCTTGGCCAGCCCGGCATAACCCCAAGAGTTGCGACAGTTTTCAACCCGCTGATGTTCACCTCTTGACACACACACACACACGCCGCTGGTGGGGTTTGAATGTGGGGAACTAGCATCTCGCTCGCATCCGACAAAGACATGGAAGTGGCATACTTGAGATGACCCGTGAGTGATGTGACAAGCCATGGCAAGCTTCACAGTACACATGCAACCATGTCAATATCACGTACCACAGGATGCGATACACCAATCATGCTGTAATAACACATTTTGGATAACTCCATGCAGCGTGTCCAGGTTTGACATGTCAGGTGTGTGTTCCGTAGTCACTGTAAAAAGATGCACTGAGAGTCAGGGACCTAAGTTAAGGACCATACACCACGAGCAACCCCTCACACTTTTGTAAGCATAGAAGTGGACATTGGATGATATTGGAATGTTTTTTGGGAACTCTGAGGCTGGCGTCATGAGCAGGAATCATTGCTGCGAAGATACCTGCGAGAAAACCTGGTGACGCCATCTCTGACGGCACGGATTCACAACTGCTTGAACAAAGCCATGCTCCTAAGCGGTGATAGGAGATCGCTATTAGGTTGGAGGCCATCGCCAATAGGTTGGAGGCCATCGCTAAAAGGTTGGAGGCCGTAGCTATTAGGTTCCTTAAAGTTTTTAGAGGAATGCACACAAGCCTTTGTCCACACGTTATGGACAAGCTTCTGTCAGACATGCAACCAAGTCAGCTTTGGCATTCTATACAACATAATTAGGTGGGTTCTAACTTGCCTACAGTGAAGGACAGCATGGTCGGCTTGTGAGGGTACACCACCATTCATGCATCGTGGTGAGATCCTGCAAAGATCTAGTCATACTCATAGTGGTGAGTGGGATGAACATTTGAGCTTGGAGATGCAGCAGGCATGGCATGGCTGTCGAGGCATGTTGCAGAGATACTCTCCCCCACGTGCTTCTTGGCTCCAATTGCCGAGGAAACAGTCACGGAGAAGAGTGCACGAGGATGAAATCAACATCCTCCAGCTCCTGCCTTTGAGTCTGAAGCTGCTCATTTGGCAGACAGAGGGTGCCAATTTTTTGTCCGGCCGCGAGATTTGCTTTTTCTTCTCTTGGCCCAACAGTACTTCCAACAAGCCACGTCCAAATAGTGTGACGCGGAGTGGGAAAGCGTGCTGAAATACTGTACATTGTACTTTGCGAATGCGAATCAATCAAATTGAGTATCCTGCTCATTTTGCACCTTGGGCCCTTCATCACTCCGGTGTGAACACTAGCCCAGCTTGCGCTTCACCCGCTTGCACTGGAAAGGTTTGAGCTTTCCAACGAGATCTATGCGCCAGCTTTGGGGAAGCATCCTTTCTTCACCTTTTGCTACAGCTGTCTACCTGCAGAGAGCAGGAAAATTTACAGCAGCTCACGCTGAATTTATACGAGGAATTGGCTTTGACAAGAACATGCAGAATATATTATGCTTACTATGCCCCCTTAGATCTTGCACAGCGTTTCGAACCTTTCAAGAATGTCTTTGTAGCGCCTAGATGACCAGGTGTTCCAAAAAGTCAGCTTTTTCTTGACTTTTTTGTGCTGAATGTCGCTTTGCAGCGCTTGAGGCCATGCTGTCGCACAGAAGTCTCTCGTGATCTCGCAGGAAGGGAGATCTTAGATCTGGCTTGATCTGGAGATGGCCTGTTTTTTTTCAAAACAGGGGACCACCAGAGTGCGTATATGTGTTTTTGCTGCCTACTTCCATCTATGCGCTATAAACTTCCCACTGTGGCCTGCATTCATGCTATATGTCTGTGAAAGCTGCCTCAATGTCCTTTGCACTGGAAAACAAACACAAACAGTCTCGAGAAAACATAGAGAAAACCAATAACAACCTAGGAACCGCCAAAAAACCTTGGGAAAAAAACACACAAGATGGAACCCACGAACCCGAATGGAAACACGATCGAAAAACTACATATGTCCAAATGACACTCTTGTAGGACACTCTTGTGGGACACTCTTGTGGGTCACTCTTGTAGGAAACTCTTGTGGGACACTCTTGTAGGACACTCTTGTGGGACACTCTTGTAGGACACTCTTGTGGGACACTCTTGTAGGACACTCTTGTGGGACACTCTTGTGGGTCACTCTTGTGTGGCACTCTTGTAGGACACTCTTGTGGGACACTCTTGTGGGACACTCTTGTGGGACACTCTTGTGGGACACTCTCGTGGGACACTCTTATAGGACACTCTTGTGGGACACTCTTGTGGGACACTCTTGTGAGACACTCTTGTAGGACACTCTTGTGAGACACTCTTGTAGGACACTCTTGTGGGTCACTTGCAGAACACTCTTGTGGGACACTCTTGTGGGACACTCTTATAGGACACTCTTGTGGGACACTCTTGTAGGAAACTCTTGTGGGACACTCTTGTAGGAAACTCTTGTGGGACACTTTTATAGGACACTCTTGTGGGACACTCTTGTGGGACAGTCTTACACTCTTGTGGGACACTCTTATAGGACACTCTTGTGGGACACTCTTGTGGGACACTCTTGTAGGACACTCTTATGGGACACTCTTGTAGGACACTCTTGTGGGTCACTTGCAGGACACTCTTGTGGGACACTCTTGTGGGACAGTCTTACACTCTTGTGGGACACTCTTATAGGACACTCTTGTGGGACACTCTTGTGGGACACTCTTGTAGGACACTCTTATGGGACATTCTTGTGGGACACTCTTGTGGGACACTCTTGTAGGACACTCTTGTAGGACACTCTTGTAGGAAACTCTTGTGGGACACTCTTGTAGGACACTCTTGTGGGATACTCTTGTCGGACACTCTTAAGGGACACTCTTGTGAGACCATGTTGAGCGACACTGTTGCCAAGTTGCGGGACACTCTTGTGGGACATTCTTGTGGGACACTCTTGTGGGACACTCTTGTAGGACACTCTTGTAGGACACTCTTGTGGGACACTCGTGTGGGACACTCTTGTAGGACACTCTTGTGGGACAGTCTTGTAGGACACTCTTGTGGGACACTCTTGTGGGACACTTGTGGGACGTGGGACACTCTTGTGGGACACTCTGTGGGACACTCTTGTGGGACACTCTTGTGGGACACTCTTGTAGGACACTCTTGTGGGACACTCTTGTGGGACACTCTTGTAGGACACTCTTGTGATACTCCTGTAGGACACTCTTAAGGGAGACTCTTGTGAGACACTCTAGTGGGACACTGTTGCGGGACACTCTTCCAACTCCCCAGATTCTCCGCTGAAGTTGTACTACAAGGTCGCCAGTTCTCAGCTTCCAGCCCCACAGATGCTCCACTCTCGCCTGCATTTCGCGCCCTGGACACGAACGATCTCCGCAGAGGGTTGCGCGGGCACCGGACAAAGCGCACTCTCGCCTGCATTTCGCGCACTCGACACGCGCGATCTCCGCAGAGGGTTGCGCGCGCATGGCATGGGACAAATCGCACTCGGCGCGCACTCGACGCGCACGATCTCCGCAGAGGGTTGCGCGCGTGTGGGACAAATCGCACTCTCGCCTGTGTTTCGCACACTCGACGCGCACGATCTCCGCAGAGGGTTGCGCGTCAAGTCTCCAAAACGAGCGTTTCGTACGAGACTTCCTCAAAAACTCACACGTCAAAGTCTGCAAAACGAGCGTTTCGTACGAGACTTCCTCTCGCGATTCCAGCCCCTCTAAACAACATCCGCTCACACGCCAATCCCAATGTGACAGCGACATTCACCTCTACCACAACTCACAACCTCACGATTCCCTGCACCTGCCACGAATCTTTCCGCATCCACACATCTAACGTGCACAAAGTACTGCGCCTGCCACGAAATGTCACCTCCGTCACACCTCGCAACCTCACGATTCCCTGCGCCTGCCACGAAAATCGCACTTCCACACCTCAAAATCCGCACACAGTACTGCGCCCACCACGAAAAGTGACAATATCATCTCATGTGAGCTTCAACAAAATTTGCACCACACCACACGTTTGGAATGATTTCGACCCGTTTTGAGCACACTCCCATCCACCAAAATCGCCATTTCAGCTGACAAGTCTGACGAAAACCGAGCTTCGATGCCACACCCTGAAACGCAAATCCCAATGGCACGGTCACATCCAACACCCCAAAAACACGACTCTCCAAACGCTAATCCCAATGGAACTGCGCAGCAATCTGCGGATCTCACAAAACGCTGCGCCTGTGCACCGAAATGCATCACGTTTCTTGCGCGACATGTCATTGTCATGCAAATCACAATGGAATAGCGGCGCAAACTGACACGTGACACGTCCATGAAAAGTCACTTGCAAAAGCTTCCCCCAATGGCAGCAAATTTGAGACGCGACGACGACGACAAACGACGAGAGACGACGACAAACGACGAGAGACGACGAGACGACGCAAGCCATGCAAACACAGCTCCAACCCCCAGACCCCCAACTATAAACGGGAACCCTTCGCTACGCATTCGGGAAAAAGAACAAAAAAGACCAATTCTCAGAGACTCTTGGCCGGACCCCCCGAATTCCTCAAGACTTCCCCAGAATGTTTTTTTGGTTTTTGTTTTGGTTCTTTTGTTTTTTGTTTTCCCAAGGTTTTTTGGCTTTTCCTAGTTTGTTACTGGTTTTCTCAAGGTTTTTTGTTTTTTCCTATTTAGGTCAATCTGTGTTCTTACTATTTCGTTCAACCTTCAAGTATGTGAGCCTAAGTCTCACCTAAAGGCATATGTTCTTTGCTCTTACAATGAAAGCATCTGAGCCCACCACTCCCTTTGTCCTTGCCGAAATCTCCATGTACAAGTCTGTGCATTAACTTCTGATTGGTATCAATGTTGACATGAAACTGTAATGATACCTTCCAATTTACATGAAATTGTTATGAATCTGTGTAAGCTGTAGTTCTAATTCAATGCATGTTGCTTTTGCTTCGGCTTTGTAATTTCGAAGCCTCCTCGACTTGTGCATCTTGTAGCTCAAGCGTTTACATCTTATTCTGGCGAAAATATAGTTTTAATTCCAATTCCTTTCTAATTCAACTCTCATCTAATTTTAAATAGGTTATAGTTATAGTTCAATACAAGTTTAGTTGAAATTCGGTTTTAATTCAGTTCTATCTTAGCTCTATATAACTAAAAACAAATTTCATTCTACCTAATTCTATTCTAGCTCTAGTCTATTTAGTTTAAGAAAACACATGCTACAAACCCCCGTGTTTTACAGTATTTTTTGCCCTGGGAGTGCTGGGAACAAGACTAAAACTCTTTTTTGAAGTAAATAGTTAGATTTTGTTTATTTACAGTAATCACTGGAAATAATGTACAAGCTTCTAATTCAAGAGCTTCCCTCTAGATCTCTGTGGATGATCATTTCTACAATAAAAATATATAAACTACAAAGCTTTCATTTCAAAAGCTTTCCTCTGGATCTCTGGAAATGATCATGTCAATTTAAACATGCTATATATATCAATATTAAATATTGTATTCTTTCAAGAGCTTTCATTTCATGAAAACACACATATATGGGATATCTACTTTCCCAAAGATCCAGAGGAACACTTTGAACATGCAAGCTCTTACCCGCAGAAATCTAGAATAAAGCTTTTAACATACAAGGTTTCTATATAGCTGTTTAAATCTAAAAATGATTACCTGCAGAGATCTATAGAGAATCTTGTGTAACATAAACGCGTCTATATAAAATCTTTCCAAATCTAAACATAATTATATGCAGAGATCTAGAGACACTTTTATGGCCTGCTTCTTTCCTAATTATTTTGTTCAAAACCATGTGAATGACTGCTTGCTGCTTCCGAAACAATTTAATGAACCTGATTCAGGAATACATAATGTATTTGTTCATATAGAGATTGCAGGAACAGATTCTATATATATGCGTTTATATGGAGAGGGGCTACCACTGAAGCATTTACCTAAAATTTTGGGAAAACCAAAACCCAGGCCCCATGTTAGAGTAGAGTGGTATCTTCTGCCCTGGAGTGAAAACAAGCATCTTTGCATATCTGTTTTATAAAAAACAAGATGGAACCCACGAACCCGAATGCAAACACGTTCGAAAAACTAATATGTCCAAATGACACTCTTGTAGGACACTCTTGTGGGACACTCTTCTGGGACACTCTTCTGG